CCCCAAAACCCCAAAACCCCAAAACCCCAAAACCCCAAAACCCCACACTTCACTCCAAGAATTGAATCACTCAAAAATTTCAAAATTCTTAAGAAATTAACTAATTCTGCTCAATATCTGTTTGCACTTGACTAACTTTTCTTCTTCGCCCTTCTTCTCCAGGCCCTTGAGGGCCTGCTTCAGGAACCTTTTTGCTTCAGTGTAGTCTCCGATCTGGTCGAAGATGATTCCTACGAAGAAGATTGCTTTAGAGAAAGTGGGGTTCTCAGTTACGGGGGCTGATTGTGGGCTGGCGCTAACTGATGGGTCGAAAAATGTTAGCAAGTTTATATAGTCATCCAGTCATTTAATGCCTTCTTCCAAATATTTGCCTGACTCGGCACATATCTTACCAATCTGGTATAAAAATTTAACATCTGAATTAACTGCGAATCCCTCAGACATCCTCCTAATATCAATATTGGACTCATCTAATTGAGTTTGTTCGAATGGCTTGCCAAGGAAACTCTCTCTAGCCGACACAGACATCACTAAATTTCAAAATTCCAAAACTTACTGCTCCTGGGGAACCTGCTGAACATGCCTGGAGCATTAGAGCTTGTTGAACTCCTGTTACTATAATCGTCATGCACAATTCTTGGAGTGAAGTGTTTGGAGTTGGGATATTGATGCCCTGCAGGGGTGGAAGGAGTCTGAGGAGTGTAGTTGTGCCCTGGAGTTGATCCAGACGTCTTTTTGCAAAGTAGAGGTTTGTATTCAGCATCGCTATTGTCAGAAGCTCTACTTCTGCCATCACTTTTGCTTAATATGCTGCCTATTCTGGTAAAAAGGAATAATACCGAAGTCTGTATTCTTTGCAGTAATTTTTCTGATGTTAAAGCCAAGAAAACTTGTCTCAAGTTCGTAGGCATCTTGATCTTTAGATTTGGTTTCTGATTCTTTACTTAGCTTTCTCTCATCAAGATTTAAATTGTCAAGTAAGTCTTCCTTAATTTTAATTGGGTCTTCAATTGTGAGCAATGCAGGAAGAGGAAGAGGTGGTAAGGATGCACTTATTTTCTTTAGAGCTCTAATAGCTTCCTCGATAAAATTAGAATAGACTCCATTCGGATCAAACCGATCCTGAGGATTAGTATATTTATTTCCTTTCAAAACCATCATTTCTGAGCGTTTGAAGAGGGAATTTACCCAAGAATTTATTGGAACATTGTTGCTACTACAAACTTTCTCTAACTTATTTGAAATGACCTCCAGCTTATCAATATCTCCCTTCTCCTTGATTATGCTCCAATACTCAAAGTAGGCTTCTTCATTGTCAGGGTGGTTCTTCATCAAGATCTTGATCTCTTTAATCGAGCTCTTCTTGTCCCTAGTTTTTAGTGGATACTCTTACAGTAAGATCTTCTTATAATAATCAGATTTGAGGAGCCCAATGGTGATTGGATCCAGCTCCTTCATGCTATTTAAATCATTGATCATCTTGTCATCACCAGAAGGAGCTAGGAGGTTACTTAAAGCTATACCTGTCTTTTGGTGCTTCTTGTACTCTTTCAGTATTTTCTTTCATGTTTCGATACTAGAGATAAGCCAAAATCTTTACATTTTAGTGAATTTTCTGAACCTGACTAGATATTTGTCTACAAAGATTATCCAAAATCCTACCTATCTCTTTGATTTTAGGGATTTCAATTCCTTTTGACTTAAACTCTTTGTGAGCCTTTGTAAAGAGAGGGTATCATTTACCGGGTCTCTGAAGGGATTTGTAGTATTTTCCCATATAAAAGCTAGAGATGGTAAGGATAGGCTTACTTTATGTAAGGATTTCTCTCCTTGATACACACTCTTTTGCATTCTTGAAGACATCCAATCCCAGATCCGTAGTATCCCTTCTCTTCACTCATGACTACATATTTAGCGTAGTAGTAGAGGAAGACAGGGTAAACTGGGTATCTGGTGTACTCATTCTGGAGAAACTCGAAGCATTGGATGTATTGGTATGATCTGAACAAGAACTGTGCGTAGATTATACTTATCAAAATCCTATTTACTTAGTTAAAGGGCTTACTTGGTCTCAAGCATATGAAAATTTACTCAGGATAAGAATAGTTTTTCAGCTATCTCTCATGCTTTTTCTGATTTCTTTTCAAACAGATTGAGGAGTTTGAAGTATGATTCGGGTCTTTCCGGATAATATTCGATCAATTCATCAAGAACTTGAAATGCAAATTCTGTATCTTTTTGATGAAGATGAATCTCAACCCATGCTAAGTATCCCTTATAGTTATCAGCTTCTTTGATTCTAATAGCAATATCTTCAGGAACATAGCTAGGCTTGAACCTTGTGGACTTAAGGTTTTCTATTGCGTCATGAGTTGCCATTAGAAGAATAAACAGAGCATTTGTATCCTTAATATTACTCTCCAAACATTCTGTACAGTACTTCTCAATCTTCTTCATATAAGTAACTTTTTCCTTCTTTTCAGAATGGATGTATAAATAAAAGCATGTCATAGCAGCCCAGAGACAGTAAGCAGTGTCTCTTTTTGGGCCTTTCAGAGCGAGTTCAAACATTTCAAGAGCTTTCTTGGTTAAATTTTTGGAGAAATATATCTTTCCGAGACCAAAGTAAGCCTCTGGACAGTAAGAATATCTTTTGCACATCTCTTGGAATGTATTCTCACACTCTTTCAGCTCATAATCACAAGTAATATGCATATTGTATTTCTTGTCAACACCGAGTAATAGAAGTTGAAGAATGATATCATTTGCTGAATAAGCCATGAGTTCAGACTTTGCTTCGGTCATACGATCTTTAGAGTGAATTCCAATACCACTCGCAATATTATAATGCTTTATCATTGATGAAGAGTAAGGATTCACAGGTGCTTGTTTCATAGCTCTAAAATGATTGATCATGCTCCTATCTTCGAGTCTAAAAGGTTCATACTTAAGGCTTACCCTCCATGGCTTCTATTCCCTTCATCATCGATGATTTTTCTCCATTCGAGATGGACCTTATCATCATCGATGGTACCATTCATGAGGCTCATCAGATTTGAATCATCCACCCTAGATTGATAGACAAGATATGCATCTTTGTTAGAAATCGTATATTCACTGAGTTGCGACGAGTTGCGGACCTTCGCATTAGTGCCTAAAAAGTTAATAGAGCTAATCTACCATGATTTGATGGAGGAGAAATAGGGAACTTCTCTTCCTCTTTCTTACCAGAAATTCCAAAGTCAGGAGCCTGGCTACTCGAGTTTGACTCATCTTCTTCCAATCCTTGTGAATCTATTGATTTAAGCTTTTTCTCCGGTGATTTTTCTTCTAAAATTCAATGAAATTATTATACTCTTTTGCCCAAAGTTAGGTGAACTGTTTAATTTCTTATCAAATGAAGGTTCCTTAAAAGTCAGTGTGGAATTTTGGGAACTATAAGATGATATTTATCAGGTACCTGTCTCCATTGATTTCATTTTCATCGGGATTTTCATTAAAATTCTTCTCCTAAAAATATTGATAATTTCTTACTTCTACTTTATCTCTTCTAGCTTCAGATTCAGCAATATTCTTTCGCATCTTTTCTTCTCGTTCTCTTGCTGCATTCTCTTTTAGTCTCTGTCTAAGCATAGCAAAGCCACCTCTCTCGACTAGAGGTTTGGATTCTATGTCAGGTTCTTTGTTTGCCTCAGGTTTGGGAGCAACTTCTGCCTCATTTTGTATCTCTGCAGGCTGATCAATTACTGAAGTATTCACCGGATTATCAAATCACGAGATATTGAGTTGGGTATTCATGCTAGTATCGTTCGCTTCATAGTAGCTATTTCGGTCATTCCCAGTGTTGTCTAACTTAAATCCCTCATCATCTTCCATATCGCCTAAATTAAAGCTTGTAAGAGACCCTTCTCTGAAATTAGGATTTGTGCCAGAATGGATAATAACACTTCCGTCCATCACAGTCTGGTTTAACGAAGCATCATCCAAATTTTCGAAATTTCCTTCGTTTTCATTCTTCGAGCTACTATCCTCATTCGGAGTGAGGACCGGACTGCTTGACCTATCATCCTCATTCTGCTTCTTAAGGTCACCAATATTACCGGTTGAAACTTTCTTTGCATGCATGGCATCGATCATGGACAGCCTTGAGTTCTCCCTCCTGTTCTTCTTCATTGGCTTGCTTTCAATCTCAGAGTCTTCCTTAAACCCTTCCTTTGAGGTATAACTCTTCTTTATGTTTATGATGCTTTGTAGTGCTTCTATAGAAGGTTTGTACTTGGCCTAGTTCAGGAAATTGGGAATGGGCATTTTGGACTTTTTAAGTGAGGATTTGGGGATGAGAGGTTATGGAGAGGGTTTTAGGGGAGAGAAGTTGGGGTAGAGAGGAGTAAGGCCTGTTTAGGTGGCCATGTAGGGGTTATATACATGTAGAGTTTAGCAAGGGACTATTTGTTGTTGGGGAAGATTCTTTGGGAAAAGGGAGAGCATAATTATTACTCTTTTGCTTACCATCCTGGTCATAATCTTTTTCAACATCTTTTAGCATATTAAACACTGATCCTTCTTCTATTCTACTACCCTCTTCATCATTTTGTATCATACTACACGATGATAGACTGGCTTACCTAGTTTGCATAACCTTAGCTTCTTCTTGTTTGCTTGTATTGTCATGCTCAGGAGGAGGAGCTTCTTCATCAGTTCTTTTAACCAAGACTTTAGATTGGTTCATAGTGTAGTCTAGGTATGAGTTTTGGATCTTTGAGTGGCTGATCTCGAAGTTACTCAGTGAGAAGCTACAGCTGGTTAGAAGGAAACGAATGAGTAAAAGAAGAGCTCAAGAGATCGTGTTGGGGATGGAGGAGATTGAATTGGCTTGGATAGGAGAAAATAAATATTTTGGGGAGCTAGATTAGCTTACTCAGAAAGATTTGCCACATGATTTGTCTTCTTTTTCTGATCAACCTTTTCTTTAATCTTGTTGTCGATGAGATTTGATAGAAAAACACTGTCTCTCAGAGATCCTCTATCTCCTTGAATCATGTTAAAAGAGTCATCTAAAATGAATTTGGTTATTAAAATTCAAGATAAGTAAAAGATAAAATCCAAAATATCAACACAGAAAAATCAGTATCTGATAAATTTCTGGATACTACTATTATTATCCCCTCTTTGCTGATTATACTCTTTCAATTTCCATATCAACGATAATTTTGAAATTCCTACCCATATTCTCATCTTTCTCGGCATCATCAATATTGAAAGAAATGTTGCCATCAAGATTCATGAATGCACTTTCAAATTCTTTTGCTTCAGGGTCTCCGAAGCTCACCACTCGGCTATCATCTTCAGACATTTTTTAATATTATATACTCCTGTGCTACATTTTGGGGTTTTGGGGTTTTGGGGTTTTGGGG